GTCTGGGCTGCGAGAGGCCAAGGTGCGGCTTCCTAGTTCCTGGAGCAAGAAGGCCCCGGCTGTCAGAACTCTGTAGGAGGCCTCCATCTTTTTGTTTGCTTCTTATTAGCCTTCCTGGTTGTGACCAATTACAGATGCATTCACAAATGGATGGGCCTAGTAAGGCTCCGTTACCACCAGCACCTGATTAATCATTTAAAATGTCTGAGCTGAGCAAGTAAAGGTTTCAGATTCCAGGAAAGAGCTGACAGGAGCCTTCATCTGAAAAGGCCTCTGCTCACATTTCTTGCAAGTTATCTCTGCCCTGGCCCCTGGAGCCCCACTTGCCCATTGCCTGTCCAGAACCAGATGTTGCGAGTGGCACCCCTGGGGTTGCACAATACGGTAGTCCTAGAACTTGGAGCTGCTGGTTGATGTGTCTGGTGGGCTAGGTTGTAGTGGGTGGTGGCCCTGGAGGACGGGCTGGTGACCCTGTAGAAGATCCCAGGGCTTGGTGGACAGGTAGTTGGGTAGAAGGGGCTGTATGCCTCCAAGCATCTTCTATCTGTCTACTCTGCTTCCAGCACAAAGGCAAGAGGGTAAGTGGGAGCCCTGACAAAGATGCTCTGCACAGACTTGCCTGGGCCTTTCTGACCTAGTCTGGGCCTCTGGGTCACAACTGTAATGCCATACACCCCACCCCCTGCATCTCCCTCTCCCACTTGCATTCACATTGGCAAAGCCCCTTTGTAGGCCCCACCCTGAGTTGGGGCCGAAAACCCTGTGGGTTGGTGCCAAAGGGCTGTTTGGGGGCAAGAGACACAAGCCAGTGAAGGGTTCCTCTGGACCTGATATCCAATTCAACTACTGTTTTCTGGGAATAGAGTGTCCCTTCAGCCCCTTCTGGTCTGGGTCCAGGACACAGGCTTTTGGCACTGGCTGAACAGGGTGGTCTTGGCTACTGAGATACTAGACAGCGAATAAGAGTTAGCCTTTTGGCTGTTGTGCAGGTAAACTGATAGGCCCTGCCTGTCCTGTCCCCAAGCTGACCACAGGGGGGCACTTGATCTGCATGGAAGGCAAACTGAGCAGCCCTGCAGGCACCAACTGCTCAACTGCCTGGGAAGGGCGGTGCCTGCTCTACCACCACCACCCACTGCTCTTTGATCCCTCCCCCTTTTTCATCTTTTGTAAACCTTTTATTTTCAAATAACTTTAGACTTACATAAGAGTTGCAGAGAAGGTATAGTTTCTATATACTGTTCCCCCAGCTTCCTCTAATGTTTAACATATTACATAACCATGGTTCTGCCCCCTTTTTATGTCCTGCTTGCCAGAAGAAAACAGTGGTGAGGAAGCCCATGTGGCCTGGGTGGGGAACCAGTCACTGGCATTGACTCTGCCTCAGCTCCTGCTGGATAACCAGCGCTGCTAGTGAAGCTTCAGTGCACATGGGTCCCCTGGCTTCAAGTACCCAGGGAGGGTGTCAGGGCCCAGGACTCAGGCAGCAGGGGTTGTATACTGGCTGACCAGCCAGGGTGGTGTAGAAACTCTCAGGCAGATTCACTCATTGGGTGGCAGGGATGGGGAAAGAGAGAGTGGAGGTGAGGAGCAGTGGCCCCCAGATGGGGTGCTATCCTGGGGCAGACTAGGCCATGCAGCTCAGTGCAGAGGGCACCCTCTGGGGGTGCAGTACCTTGGACCCTCCAGGCAGGTAAGGCATCTAAGAAGATATAGTTGTAAAATATGAGGAACTGTGAGGATTTCCTCAACAAGTCACTCTTACCTCCACACCTGCACCCCCACCCCCCACCCCCTTCCACCACCCCATCTTGACAGTTTGAGGACAGAGGTTCTGTTCTCTGCTAATGGAAAGGAAAGTCATAAGGGCTTTGGAAGGAAGACTTGGTGCTCCAGGCAATAAGTGATTGGGTTTCTAAGGTGTGTACAGCACTAACCACCCCTATCAAGGCTGACGCAGCCCTTGGTCAGAAGTCCTCTGTTCTATTGCCAGACTGATTATTTCTAACGTCTGTGGGCATTGTCTGGGAGTAATGAGCTCAAAGTACTTATCACCCCAGGTTTCCGCGTTTGTCATGCAAAATATGCCCTGGCAAGGACAAACTGAACTAAATAAAGGAGAAAGGGATAGAGGAAGTGAGACTGGGACATGTTTGTCTCCCTAGCTAAACTGCCTGAGGGTCAGTGGTTCTAAAAGGAGGGAAGTGGTGAGGGGACAGGGTTGGGAAGACTGAGTGGCACTGTGTATGGAAGGCCCTCAGCACAGGTCCTAGCCCGTTTGTGAACACCTCAGTACACGGCAGCTTAAGAGAAACTGTAGGACCATTCATATGGCAACCCAACCTTGGGCTGGGTCTCAGGCCTGGATTAAGCAGATTTCTAGAGCTGGCAGGGGAGGGGGCCTTTCTATACCAGGGGGCAGCAGAGCTAGTGCTCTGGCAGGGAGAATACAGGAAGGGATTACGCAAGGAGTTCCACAGCCAATTGTGTCCTTAGTTTCCCTGTCCAGAGCTGCCCATCATTTGGGCAGATGACACCCTGCCTCCTTGCTGCGGTGACCCTGGAGTCTGGAATACCCAGGCCTTCAGTGGGTAGGGTGGGCTCTGGCTGGTGTGAGAGGACTGTCCTGGAGCCCATTCACTCCTGGTCCCTTTTCAATCCCAGTCAGACCTGGGTTCAGATCCTACCCCTGCCTCTGGCTGGTCACGTGTGTTTGAACAAGACACTTAACCTCTGTAAACCCGGAGTTCCTTATGTGTCAAATAGGGAATGATGGTAATATCTACCTCAAGATTACTGTTAGGACTAAATCAGGTAATACACCTTATCAGGCCTCAGAATAAATGGTTGTCTTCTCTGACTGGCTTTCCCGGTGGTGAGTCTTGTCTTTTGACCCAGAACAATTTTGCCTGTGTTGCTGAGTGGGGCCAAATGAAAGTAGACTGAGATTAAACATGTGCCTGGAGAGAAGGGAAAGGGATGTCTTGTATCAGGTGATACAATGGGAGAACTTGGAAAGCTCACTACTAACCCAGCATATTCTAGCTCCTATACAAGGCTCCAAAGAGGAAGTTACAAAGAGAGGAGGTGTATAAATAGATGTGCAAAAATAGAACTGAAAGAAGATCGCCAAGGGACTGGTTTAATTGATAAGATTCATGGACTTTCAAAAAATTTAAAATCCTTATTGCCTTTACCTAAGTCTGATGATGGTGGTGGTTCTTGAGATTTTCTTTAAAATGGCCACAGATTCTCTGAGGCCAAGGCTGATCATCATCAGCCATTTTAGGGATGTCCTTAAAGGAAGAGAGGCTGATGTTGGATGAAAGTCAGCTGACGAGTGAAGGGTGGTTGGGGTCCTTGACCTGCGGATTTGTTTTGCACTCCAATCTCTTAACAGAGCACTTAAGTCCTGACAGGGCTCAGATTTCCAACTCCATTCTGAGAAAAAGGAAGAGTGACAGGCTCCTGCCTTCCACTGCTTTGTGTACAAGTTCAAAGGTAGGGGCACATTCTGATACTGTGCATTGCCCACGTATGAAAAACTAAGATTTGTGGTTACTCTTTCACTCTTGGTAGAGAGCTTAGCTGTATTTAAATAAAACATTCCCCCCAGACCCCAATAGGGTATGGGACATTGTGCCACCTGGTCTAGAAAACAAGTTGGGTTAGCCAACACTGACCAGATAGCAATGGACATTTCTGATCTCAACTCTGGCTGCCGTATAGGTTCCCCAGTGCTTGGCCCTGCAGGGATGTGTGTCCTGAGGAGGAGGAGGGAAAGCAGCTGTGGAGCTCAGCCACCCTTCCTCCCTTCATCATCCATAGTGGCCGGAACCCTCCCCTGGTCTAAAAGGCTTGGGCTCTGCTGTAGGGCCCAGGGCTTTTGCCACATTCATTCATTCTCACCTCTCCTCTCCATGCCAGTGTATGTGGTGGAAGACCAAAGAAGGGATGACCTGGGCCCATCTACCTGCCTCACAGCCTGCTGGACTGCTCTCTGTTGTTGCTGTCTCTGGGACATGCTCACCTGACCTGCCTGGCCCTGCCGTCCTGCCAACTCTTCTGCCACCTCCAGGGGTGACTGCCCCCATCTCTTCTGATCGCTGAAAGAAATGACTAGCTTTGCGCAGACACTTCAACACAGTGGGATTCTAGATTAGCTATTTAATTCAATGACTTGATCTTTCTAATGTTCAAAATCCATTTCCTATTGGCCTTTCACAAATGTGCTAAATGATTTTCCTTTTTTTTTTGGCCAAAGGCTTAGTTATGAAATACATATTTATAATTTTTAAATTACACTCAAGGTAGTAGCGTAATGTAACATACCACTGATTGATTACTCTGCTAACACCCTGTATGTTTCAATAAACATGTCTAAACTTCAACTGTCTGAATTATTCCAGATAAAGTCCTGGGTGTCTTAGCTAGTGGCCACTGCCCAGTATATGATGAGGAGCCTATTTACCTTTTCATTCTGCTACATGAACAGAGTGGGTGTCATTAGGAAAGTAGTCCCAAGACTGGGTAGCCTTCAGCTAGGTCACGGGGCCCTCACCAATGAGCCATACCTACTTTTATCCAGAGCCTAGGAAAGGGCCTCTTGGTAAATATGCGACGCCGCGCCCCCCCTACCCCCCCAACGAAAGAGAGAATAATTCAAACCAGTCAGCCACTTATCTCAGCTTTGGCCACAGGGTGGCGCTGAGCTGCCAGCCTACCCACTTCCCTCTGAGCCGTGATGTGCTTATAAATATTTAACTAACAGCTCTTCAAAAACAAACAAAAAAACATTTTTGTAGCATCACCTGATTTCTGTGGAGTAAATGGTCCCACCACAGCTGATGTCAAGCTACCATGATATTCTGAGTGGAGTTGGGAAGAGAAGCACAAGAGTGCACCATTATGTAGTAGTTCCACTGTCCAGATACAATATAGACTGTTAACCTCAAAAATATACATCAGCCGATTTAGTTATTAGGAAGAGAGATGTTTTGAACATTTATTACCCTTGTTCTTTAATAATTTAATTGTAAAGTTACATAATTTAATGTTTAATAATGGCTGTGTTTAACAACTGTCTTGCAACAAAATTCCTGAAAATTGAGTAACTGGCTCTCCCAAGCTAGTGTAAGCCAGTCCAGCACACCGCTGCCCCTGAGTCTCTAGGAGGCCTCAGGATCATCGTGTCCCCTCTTATGACAATGACCAAAGGGGGAGAGTCTTGGAGGTGCTGCTGGCTTATTACTGAATTTTCTTTTGGAATGTTTATGAGGAAGCAGGAATCTTTAGGCAAACTGCCACCAAGGAACTGCTGTCCTCACTTAAAATTCAGCTATGCCCTGGTCTCCTTTCTTATCTGCACATTCCATGAAGGCTGTTAGCCTGAGGGGTTTACTCAAAGGATAAGAAATGGCAAAAGAGGGGAAGGCTTCATGCACTGGGACAGGGAAGAGCTCAGATAGAGATAGCCTCTACCTCTCTGTTCTCATTTGTCAGCTCAAGAAAAGCAGACTTGGCAGAGTGGCACAGATGCCTTTTATTGGTCTGACCACCATGACTAGTAGGGGGCATGGGCAGAGCTCCCCTATCTGTCCTGGTTCCCATCTTCCCTCTCTGGGGAGTTCATGACTCAACCCAGGGGAGGAGTGTCTTAGGCAGGGGTGGCAGGCAGAGCCAGGATAAATAATAGAGGGGTGGGTTTTGAAGGGCTCAGGGTGATGTAGAAAAAACAGGGTTACCAGACCATCCAGATAAAACAGCATCAGGGTAAAGCAGAGGCCATTTCCCTGCACAGGCCCCTTGTCCTTGCCAGGAATGGGAGGGGAAAAGCTTCCTTAGAGGCTTCCTACTGTGCCCTTCGTGCCATCAGCATCTCCCGGATGTTGTCTTCAGCTTCCTTCACACTGCGCTCCAGGTAGGATTTTTTCTGCTGCAATATGCGAAAGAAAACAAGGGTTAGGGTGAACGGGTTATGTTGGCAGATGTGACTTTTATGCCCAATGGTCATGGCTTCTACCCTGTGACCAGTGACTTCCAGGAGCATGTTGTCAACTGGGAGCCAGGTACACATAACTGATCCCTGACCTGTGGGGGGAGGAGGTCGCTTGGTACAGAAAGCAGAGCGCTGTAGAAGGCAGTAGCACTCTTCCCCAGAAGGAAGTAGACTCTAAAAACAGTCGTCTGGGTACATGAAGATACACCAGACAAAGGCCAGGAAATTCCAGGACAAAGTTCCGGCCCCATAGCAGACTGTCTCTGAAGGTTTTCCATGGCCCTGGCCAGGTCCTGTAGCCGCCACCACTGCAGAATGGACAGTGTACCCTCTGCTCTGTCCAGCGACATGACAGGCTTTGTGAGCCCTAAAAAGTTGTATCACACGTCTCACTGAGGCAGATGAGTCAGGATTAAATCTGCTTTTCTAATGAAACTGCTGCCTGCCAGGAATCCAGGACAGTGACACACTGAGTAAAACAGACCTTTTGGAAGTTTACCTCCTTTCCCATCTGGGTCCTAAATTAAAAATCTCAATTTAGACAAAGAACTTTACTTTCAGGAGTCACATCTGGACCAGGATTTCAAAAGATTAGTCAAAGGAAATGATGCCTGTACATTATTTGCCCTGTGGTCACCCCAGAAGTATGGTGCTTTACCACTGGTCCCTGCCCTGAAGACATAGTTGTGGCTGCATTCCCACTTAACAGACATGAAATGAAGGTCCCTTTTCAAGGAATATTCAAAATAATCCCCTCCAAGGATGTATGTGACTAAGCCACACTGGAGCCAGTAATGCAGAGCCCTGGCCCAGGCAGTCCAGACACAGCCAGTGCCCTTCTCGCAAACCTACCTTCGCACAAGCAACCGTGGCTTCACACTGACCACTAGAGTACCCAGGAGACCCAGGGAAAGCTAGGGCAGAGGACAGGTGAGTAGCCTGGTCTGACAGGCCTTGCAGGAAAATCTAAACAAATGCCTCTATTGCTCAAGGCCTGCACCACTAAACCTCTCTTCATATCCCTGCCTCCAATTTCTCCCTCTCTGCCCAGATACTTATTAAATGATACATTTAGATACCCCCCCCCCGTATGCGAAATGCTATGGCATCCACAAATCTTAATCAGTTTTTATTCCTGTTTACCTAGTCCCTACTTCAAATTTCCTGAAGACTAGAAAGAGCCCTATCTCTACCTATCTACCATCTGTCCAACCTGCACACAATTCCTTACAAACAACAGGAACGCCATAAAAACTCACAGAACCACCCTGGCTGGTGTGGCTCAGTTGGCTGCAGTGTCATCCCATGCACCGAAATGTCACGTGTTCAATTCCCAGTCAGGGCACATACCCAGGTTGCAGATTCAATTTCTGGTCAGTGCATGTATGGGAGGCAACCAATTGATGTCTCTCTCTCTCTTCCCCTTTCTCTCTCTAAAAACCAGTAAATACATCCTCAGGTGAGGATTAAAAAACCAAACAAAAAACTCATGTAACCATTATCTGGTCACGGTCACCACAAGTGTATGTTATTGCTAAAGAATTTTGTTTAATTATATTGCTAAACCTGATATAGTCCTATCACTGTGATTATCAGAATGGGAACGTAAACTTCCTTTGATAAACAACCTTTAGACTGTACTTGTGGTGAGTTAAAAAGAAGAAAATACTAATAACTCCTGACACACCACTGAAGAATGTACATGTACTGGGTGCTGCAGAGAAGGGGGGCAGTAGCTAGACAGTGAGTGCCATGTGGCATCCAGCCCCGTGGGAATCTAGGGAAAAGGCTAGTGGAGCACACAGGTTTGTACTCCTTTGGTAGTCAGCCGGAGCTCAAGGCGCAGGGCTCAGGGCCCCAGGTTGCTGCACTCCATCTCTGCCGACTTGCTGCCCCAACTGGCAAAGCACAAATTTGGATCATCTGCAAGAGCTTTTCTACCTACTGCCCCGGCCTCTGGACAATCGATTCAGATAAAATTTAGATCAAAATCAAAGTAATTCTTAGCTTTGAAAGTCTTCATTTCATAATGTCTATTTGTTCTGTCTTCCACTTCCAGTTATGACTTTACCACTTCATATCCTAAAGTCTTCAAGATTCAAAAAAATAATGCAAAATGAACTTGTCTATTTTTAAATCTTTAACTAAACTTACAGAACTGCCCTGGCTGGTTTGGCTCAGCAGTTGGAGCGTCAGCCTGCGGTCCAGAGAGACCCAGGTTCAGTTCCCGCTAAGGGCAATTACCTCAGTTGCAGTTTGTCCCCGGCCCTGGTTGGGTTGTGCGGGTGGAGACATTCAATGTGTCCCTTTCACAACAATGTTTCTCTCTCTCTCTCTCTCTCTCTCTCTCTCTCTCTCTCTCCCCCTCCCACTCTATCTGAACAAAATATGGAACTCTCCTTGGGTGAGGATTTAAAAAAAAAACAAAAACTTACTGGACATTAAATTTTTTTTTCATCCCAGCAGACGGGATCCCTAGCACAGAGGGACCTGTTTTCTAACTGTATTTCAATAGGTCCTATCTCATCCTCAAATACATCTAAGCCCAAAAGACTCTCATTTGTCAAACTCAGACCGAAGCATCTGTTGTGGGTTGAACTGTCTCATAAAAAGATATGTTAAAGTCCTAACCACTGGTATCAGTGAATGTGACCTAATTTGGAAATAAGGTGTTTGAAGATGTAACCAAGTTAATATGAGGTAATACTGGATTAGGCTGGGCCCTAAACCCAATGATTAGTGTCCTCATAATAAGAATGCCACATGAAGACAAAGGGACACACAGGAAAAATGCAATACATTGATGGAAGCAGAAAGTGGAGGGTTGCATCTATAAGCCAAGGATGGCCAAGGATGGTCAGCATCCACCAGAAGCTCAGAAGAGGAAAGGAAGAATTCTTCCCTAGACCCTTCAGAGAGAGCAGGGCCCTACAACACTTTGATTTTGGACATCTAGCCTCCAGAACTATGAGAGAATAAATGTCTGTTGTCTTAAACCACCCACTTTGTGGTAATTAGTTATGCTGCCCTAGGAAACCAACATAGCACCTGAAATGGGGGATTCCCCCAGAGACAGAATCTACTCCAAGGCTCTTCTGGACCCACAGCCTCTAACCACACTGAACTGTACAGGCATAAGTAAGGATCCCTAAAAGTTAGTATTATGGGACCATACTTCTCCCCCCAAAACTGTGGTAGAATTGACCCAAATACAAATCAAGACTGTCAGAGACAACGGAGAGAATGAAGGCGCCAATGACCTCCACAGCTTCTTCCTAAAACTGCTTAGTCAATTCTGTGGACCCTGCCTTCCCCATTCCTGTAAATAACTCCACTCTTGTAATTGCTCAAGACAGAAACTTTGGTGTCATCTTTGACTCTTCTGTCACAGCTGATATCCACCAACCAACAAATCCTGTTAGCACTATCTCAAAATGTATCCAGAATCTGACCTTAACGAACAGCCTCATAAGTGGTCTCTGTTCTTCTGCCCTTGACCCCCTTCAGTTTCTTCTCCACAGTGGCCACAGTCATCTTTTAACACTTTTTAAAACCCTCCAATAGGTTTTTACTCAAAGTAAAAGGTAACAACTTTTCAAAAAATCATGTAGTTTTGTTCTCAGCTGACTCGCTGACCTCCCCGCCCACAACTCCCTCTCAGCTCCAGCCACAATGTCTTCTGAGCTGTCCCTCCAGTCCACTTGCTGTGCTCCTGCCTGGCCTCTGCCCTCTGGCTCTCTCTGCAGTAACAACCTTTCCCAGATAGCCACATTACTTGCTCCCTCACTTCTGTCGGCCCTTCTCAACGTCACCTTAGGGGAAAGGCCTTCTTGATTATGTGCAGCCCCATACTCCCTATTCTCACCCCAACTTTCCTCCATGACACCTATCAACCACCAGCAGAATCTGTCTGTCTGTCCTCCCTTATAAGAAAAGGTCTGTGAGGGCAGGAGTTTTTTAGTTTGCTGATACAGTCCCAGTGTCTAGAAGAATGAACGACACATAATAATAATTCAATACCTGTTGAATAAAAATGCATTTATTATAGGAAATGATGCCTTACTGATTTACCTGTACATATACTGCTTCTTTTTATTTTTTTATTTTTATTTTTTATCCTCACCCGAGAACATTTTTCCATTTTTTGCACAGATAGAGTGGGAGGGAGAGAGAGGAAGAGAGAGAGAGAGGGAAACATCGATGTGAAAGGGACACATTGAGTGGCTGCCACCCACACGGCCAACCAGGGCCGGGTACATGCCCTTAGCGGGAACCGAATCCGGATCTCTCCGGACCGCAGGCGGATGCTCTAACCGCTGAGCCAAACCGGCCAGGGCTACTGCTCCTTTTTAGTTCTTTCTCCCCACTGACTTGAATGACTGAGGAACACCCACCAAAGCCACCCTTCAAGATGGTTTGTAGTTTGGGGCATTGCCCTCTAACCTCTGCTCCTGGATATACATAGGTCTACAACTCAAACTTCACCGATCCTGGGGCATCAAAGCCTTACTCCCACAAACAGAACAGGTCCTTACACCTTATCAGGCCAACATGTAAAACCAACCATCCCAATTTCCCACATCCTGAAGTTGGAAATCCTTGAGAAATTGCTCAGTAACAGGGCTGCTGGAAGCTACAAGGGGGCTATGCTATATAAACTCCAGGAGGCATTTTAAACCCAAACCTCCACCAGGAGTCCTGGGAAGGCATTTGCTGGCCTCGCTGCAGCATTTTTGTCTTGCTGAGCAATCTCCCTCAGAACTCTTTCCCTAGGAAAGTCTCTGGTGACACCAAACCACAGAGCTCTGGGTGCAGCGACATTCTTGTGGGGCCTTGTCCTGATGTGAAATTCTGAGATTTCCTGTGGGGCTCAGCATGGACAGGGAACTGAAATTGTTAGACTTATTGCTCATTGGCCGGAGGTTCTTTCTGGGAGT